GCGGCACAGATGTCACAGCACCTGTCTGGAAAAGGTGTGTGAGAGTTTTATGTAATAACTCCCTGTGGGGAGCGTGTCTGCACATTTCTGCTGCACCCCCGGTGAATTTTAAGTATTCAGAGGCTCGACACGAAGTCTGCCTCGTTCTGCCTCCCTCCACATCACACTGTCTGCATTCTCACCGCACATCACACTGAGACGACGTGACTCCTGATCCTGCTTACGATTAAATATGTGCGTTTTCACAACGGTAGGCAGTGGGTGTGACTTACCCACAGTCCTCTGTCTCTTTTCAGCAGAAGACATGTTGAAGACGTCCACTTGGTTTCCAGTATCTGGTTTATAATACGTCTCGATGTCTATGGAGAACTTCTCTACAAAGGGACAGGTATACCTGAGGAACAAAGGAGAAACACATACTTAGAAGCATTTCTTTATCTATTTTTTGTCCCTTTGTTAGTTCTTGTCACTGCTTGTTTGTTGTCCCCATAATTGCGTTTTTGCCTTCTATCACATCATTAATGTACAGTTTGTGAGCCTCGACGTGTCCTACATGTGTGTGAGTCAACGAGCAGCCAGTGCATGTGCTCTGATTTATCTTTAGACAGTCTCCCGTCTGTCATTTTCTATTTGGTACATTTGTAATGTCTGTTTGATCTCATGTAAGTTGTATTTACTTTGGTTTATTATGTTGATTATTGTTATCAACAGCAGACCAAAGGATTTCCAGGGGTGGGAAAGAGAGATGTGGATTCTACTGTTAATATAACGGCGTAAGATAAAGCAAATGTATTGGGGGAAAGAAGAAGCCTGGATTTGTGTCCCTGGAGCACCTTCCTCCATCACTTTGGCAGTTTATGGGTGAAAATAATGAAACACCTGAAGGAATACACCGAGCTGTGAGCATTTGGTCTATTAATCCACAGATTAGGTCATCTGCAAGATATCAAAAGATGATTATTCAGCTTAAATTGTTCCAAATAAAGAAAAGGCTCCATCAGCAATATCAAGTGAGTGTTATTTCATCAATTTATGAATCTAGAAGTCATAAAATAAAAACCATTAACAATGTTTTATTACCAAGAGTTTAGTGTTTCTACTTTAAACAAGGCCAACTGCCTAACATCACTTTGTGTAATGTGTCCATAAGTGTTAAATGTTTTAGCACAGGGATGATTTCAGTGTCTCTTTTTTTAATATGTGTGTGACTCCTCCTCCTTCCTCACCGGGTCCGGGTGTAGGGGTAGGCGTTCCAGGACTCCTCCTCCACGCGGAGGGCAGCTTGAGGCAGAATGGCACAGAACCAGGACGGGATGTGTTTGCCGATGTGGTAGACCTTGTGCGTGTACTGACCCGATCCTCCGGGTCCGTCCTCGTAAGGCTTGTTCTCCAGGATCTCCACCCCGCTGCCCTCGCCACAGCTCTCCTCTCGGCTCTTTTTCTGCATAAACAGACAGAAGGGAGGAGATGGAGGAGCTGCTCAGATTCATCAACAATACAAAATAAAAGTACGATGTTGTCTTTGCTTTTTGTTTTATATTTCACAGGTGGAGGTTTGGTTTCAGCTGGGCACAATTTGCATTTTAACCTCCACGAGTGAAGCTTGACAGTGACAGGTGGAGGAACACAAGCGGCCTACTGAAGATGAACACAGCAGCATTTCTATTTACACTGCTCAGAGGTATTTTAGTGAGTAAATCAAACTGACACGGCAAAAGTGAGCCAATGCTAGAAAATCCAACTCATCCGGCTCTGGTTGCCCGACAAACATCCTCCCATCCTCCCTCCTTTTCCTTCAACTTCAAATCAACCCCCCGAGACCCTCACGCAGCGCTGCTGTCTCTCCTCCGACTCTCGTCCGGCCATGTGAACCCCTCACAGAGCTGGATGGATGATGCAGCAGAGGGAAAGTGATGAGCTGGGGAGAAAAATAAAAGCTGCCGCACGGAAAAAGAAGCAGAAGAAACTGCTTTTCTTTTCCTTCTTTCAGTCACATCCTCTTTATTCCTCCACAGCTCACTTTGCCTCTCAGTCGTCTCTCCTCTCCTCCTGTGCTAAACAATCCAAACTCTGTTCACTGTTTTAACTTCTACTGATGAGTTCAGGACTCTTAAAACAGAGTAACTGCGTCAACAAGGTAAAATGTTGCTTTCCTTCTCTAATAAAAGGCAGCAGATGGTTCAACCCATCCGATCCTGTCACACTGTGTCTTAAGCCTGATGCTCCACAGAGGGAGACTTGGATTACAGCATCAGTTTATAAACACACGACGTCTCCTTAAGAGGCTCTCCACTCAGACGGGAACCGCCTGGGTCGACACGCGTTCATACGGCTGGTCAATTATACGAACCTCCTCCAGGATCTGATACGGGAGCCTCACTTTATAGCTTAAAGTTTACGGCGTCGCGACTAACGAGTGGTGGAATGAGGCGTCAATTAATCAATTAGTCGGTCTATAAATAACAAGGAAAGATTTCACCAACCTTCTCCGTTTGCAGCTTATAAAATGTGACGCTTTTCTTTGTTTTTTTTGCCGGGAAATGATCGATAAATTAATTGATTATGAGAACATTTATGAGCTCTAAATATCTTCTTTTTTTAACCTTTATTTAACCAGATATCTGTTTAGGTCATCCATCTTATTGGTGTGTGTAACGACACATTTCTTCTCATCTATAGGTCTGATTAGTGCTTCTGTGCTTTCTCTTCATTAACATACAGACTTCTAAAATAACCTTTGTTGTATTTCAATACTTCCACTTAAAGCAGCCTTGTTGGAGCTACGTTCAGGGTCTCCATCCAAACATCACAACCATGATAAACACTTCTGATGCTCAAATCATAAATGACCTAATGCTCTGTAGTTTAAAATCATCGAACTAAATCTTGAATCTGCGTTTGCAGAGGCCGCTAAGCTTTGATCTCCGCGCTGAGGCAGTGAGACGACAGTAGACGTACTGTATTCTGCTGTCAGACGGATGATTGAAAAGCTGTTTTATTCCTTCCATTGTAATGCGCTGCGGGTCGAGGAACGGCGCTACGCGAATACAAATCATGGCGATCATTATTAACAGCAAGAGTGGGGAGCACGGGGTCAAGAATGAGAGCTCGGATTGAACACGGAGCCGTCTCTCCTGAAGACTTTAGGGAGGTGATATCAGTTATGAAGGTCAGAGGAGGCAAACAGCTGGAAAATTGCTGTAATCTAGCAGGTAATGTAATTTATGTGAGGAGCTGAGGGCCTTAAATTACCCTCCTCGTGCCTGCTGCAGGGCAGGAGAGAGGATCTGAGTATACAGCGTTTCTCCAGCGACTTTAAGGTTCATGAATCTCTATGAAAACAAGATATATTACAGCTCTTTGTTGTGTAGATAGTGTGATATATATCCTCTTGTATAATTGTCCAACAGTCAGAGACGAGCAAGACTGAAGATCTAGAGCTAAAGATGCAGTCAGCTGTTTTATTTTGCGTGGTAGTAAAACCTTTAATTCCCTCTCAGCTGCTTTACTCAAAAACAACCGTCACGTGCAAACAACAGCGGGAGCTTTTCTAAACCGGAGGATGCTGAGGGTTGTGTTTTCTGGTGTTTGGCTGTCATCAAAATCAGACGAACACACACACACACACACACACACACACTTGTTGAGGAATGAAAGAAGCCATCAAGACTAAAGAGTGTAGAGCAGCTCTGTCAGGCTGGACCTTGGAGTTAATTGCTAACGTTAGCATGCAAACATGCGCACAATGACAAATAAATCAAAGAACCAATGGACATGAATGAAAGAGTGAATCCAGAGCTTCTTGTCTCAAAGCTGCATTCTCTCTACTGTCCACCAGGGGGCGACTCCTCTGGTTGTATAGAAGTCTATGAGAAAATGACTCTACTTCTCTCTTGATTTATTACCTCAGTAAACATTGTAAACATGAGTTTATGGTCTCAATCTCTAGTTTCAAGTCTTCTTCAATACAGCATGATGTTCATTTAGTACATTATGGTCCATTTAGAGTCAAACAGACCATAAAGCAGGGGATGCTTTAGGGCGGGGCTACACAGTGATTGACAGGTCTCATGACTTGTTACTGAGTATATGTTATGTGGCGGTATTTAGTGCTGACTGAGCAAAACTCAGAGGGGCAGCTTTTCATCTGAAATGAGAATAGCATGTCCACCTTAAAGGTCGGTCCACCTTAAATGAGCCCGAGTCAAAGTGGAAAGCAACACACGGGGACTTGGTTTGAGTCTCGGGGAGTTGAAGCTTCTATTTAGCGACAAATAGCCTAAACTGTGCACACACACACACGCACACACACACACACACACACACACACACACAACCTACTATTACTGCTTAAAGGAGTTCACTTTATGGGACAGATCCACGGAGCTGTCCGTGGTGCTGAAGTAGCAGACAGATTTGTAATTGTGACGTTTTCTCTGAGTCCCGCCGCTCTGTAAGTTTCATCTTGGATTAATCATATTCTCTGTCCCCCCGTTAATATTAAAGACATCTTCTACCGCTGATAGTTGAGATACTTCAGCCTAAAGCTGAGCCACACTGCTACTGTGATGGCCAAAACCTAAAGAAGAGAAATGAATTCATTTGCGGCTAGAATCAAATAATGAGCTGCAGAAGGTTGAGTCAATGTAAGGAGATGAAAGAGATGGATGCAAGTTGAGTATGTTAACACAGCAGGTCAGCTCAACATGCAGAAATGTGAAATTTGTCGATAAGCAAACATATAATTCAACTTATATAAAGAACAACATTATCAATAATAAATGTATTATTAATACATATTTATTTGGGTTTCTTTCCTTTCATTTGTACGATACAACAGTAGTTATTTCCAGGAATCTTACGAGGCAATCATTGGGATATTATTAAATGAAGACTTGAATGTAATAAAAAGCAGCGATGTGACGAACAAAGAGGAAAGATTCATACAAGAACTCTGAGCTTTGGCCGATATTCAGAGAGGTGAAAGAAGTTAAGAACAGCTGACAGGAGGAGAGAAGAAGAAGTGAAAGAAAACAGATTCATGTACGATGTGACGAGCTGCGTGCAGAGACTCTGTGGAACCATAACGGGGTCCGGCTCTGCCGAGGGTCTCGGTTCTGAGCTGCTCCTGAATTATTTATGTGACACCGCAAGGTTAGCATAAACCCATAAACCCGGGTTCACAGCGCCCCCCCTCAGGCCCAGAGTCCTACCGGAGCACCAGCAGAACCTCACGCATCCAACGTTATCACCGGCTGCTCTCACACACACACACACACACACACACACACACACACACGCACACACACACACACACACACACACGCACACTAATGCATTAGCCATTCGCCCATTTCTCAAATGCGCTGTGCTCGCCTTTCAACCTCATGCATCAAACCATCAGTTCAGGTTGAATAGAAGAGAAACGAGGATTCACAGACTGAGATGTTAATGTAGGAAATCATCAGCAGACAAAGTCTCTCATCTCTCATAAAGAATCAACAACCAGCTGCTGTGTGTTACTTTTAAACAGTGAACACGCAGTGATGTCATCAATACAACATGACGTAATGATGTCAGTGTTTCCAAACTAGCGATTCTTTAAAAGTAAAAAGATCTTCATCAACACCAGGGTGTTCATCTTATTGTGTCCACCCCGTGGACCGAGCATGAGGTGATAAATTAAAAGTGTTGTCAAGGTAACGCCGACATCATCTCTCTCTCCCCCCCCTCTCTCTCTCTGTGTCTCCCTCTCTCCCTCTCTCGCTCTCCCCCTCTCTCCCCCCCTCTCTCTCTCTCCCCCCCTCTCTCGCTCTATCCCCCCTCCCTCTCTCTCTCTCTTTCTCTCTCTCGCTCTCCCCCTCTCTCTCTCTCGCTCTCCCCCCCTCTCTCTCTCTGTGTCTCCCTCTCTCCCTCTCTCGCTCTCCCCCTCTCTCCCCCCCTCTCTCTCTCTC